TCACCCCTGCTGTGATTTGGGGGAGGAATACATATTTTTTCTCTTTTGTTGTTTGTGTTTGTTTGGGCCACAGTATCTCTGGGGGATTAGAATAAATTGTGCTGCTTAAAGAGTCAGTGGTGCTTGTGTGTGTGTGTGTGTGTGTGTGTGTGTGTGTGTGTGTGTGTGTGTGTGTGTGTGTGTGTGTGTGTGTGTGTGTGTGTGTGTGTGTGTGTGTGTGTGCCATTGTTTTGGAGTAACATTGAAGAAGAGCTATTTCTCTCTAGTTTGATATTCATGTGGTCATCAATATTATTGACCACTACTGACAGTAACAACAAATCAAAAACAGAATTCAAAATCCCTTTAAAAAGTTGCTTAATAACTCAAATAGATGCACATTACGTCTTCAAGCGTGTATAAATACATAGAAAACGTAAAAAGGTTGATGCTAAATGTAAACTCCTGTGCAGCTGTGACGAACATGCAGACGAAATCTGAGCGATATATAAGAGCAGTATAATCACATGGACTTTTAATCAAAATGTAATTACAAATAAAGACAACTTTGGGACTATTTTACTATAATAACCAACATTTTGGGACCAAATCTTGGCCTTAAACCTCTAACAACTTGATGCTGGGTTAGTCTCAGGGCATCAGAGCCTCACTATGGGATGTCCAATCCTCTCTGCTGAAGTTAAAGACTTCTGTTCTCTGTGTGTTTCTGCAGTGAGAAGTTCATGGTGAGACTGAACAAGAACGGAGGACCGAAGAACCCGGAGAAGGTGGACAGACTGTGTGCCCTCTTCACGGTAACACACACACACACACACACACACACACACACACACACACACACACACACAGACACAGACACAGACACACGCACACACACACACACACACACACACACACACACACACACACACACACACACACACACACACACACACACACACACAGACACACGCACACACACACACGCGCGCACACACACACACGAACATGCTGTAAATGTAGTCTGAGCAGAGCACATTTAACAAAGTGCAGATATAGAAGTAGGGATGCATCGCCCCCTGCTGTTCTGCTGCAGAATAACCAGTAGAGATGATGCTCAGCCAGGAAAACACACATTTTATCTCTAAATTGAAAGAAAGATGAAGAAATATAGGAAGATTACATACACAAACAACACGTAAATAAATCTGGATTGTCCTTTTTTTCACTAAACTAATTATGTTAAATGTAAATGTTGTGATTTATATTCTGTGGTTCATTTTGTTGACATGTAAGTGTTTTCTGTTCCTCTAATTTTGCTGGACTTCGCTCCTCATGAGCTCTTATCCTTTGAGTTAAATGCAAAGACACAGGGGTCTAAATTGTCAAGCCCCCCCCCCCCACTGGCATTCACCTGCAAGATGTTTCTCAAAGAGACACAAACCAACCAGGAAGAGACTCAAAATGACCACAGAGGCACAAAATGACCACAAACAGACACAAAATGAAGGCAAAGAGACACCAAATTACCGAAAGTGAAACAAAATAACCTCAAAGGGACTAAAAATGACCAGAAGTAGAAACAACATGACTACAAACAGACATAAAATGGCTGCAAAATGACGAAAAGGAAAAAATACAAATCAAAATGGCCCAAAAGAGACACAGATATCACCACAAAGGGATTAAAAAACAGCACTTATGGTCTAAAAAGGACATCAAAGACACATTATGATTGAAAGAGAAACCAAATGACCACAAATTGACCTAATATGACTGAGAAAAGACACAAAATGATTGCAAAGTGATAAAAAATCATCACAAATTGTCTGAAAATGACCATAAAGACAGAAATACTACAAATAGACACAACATGACAGCAAAGACACCCAAAATGACCACTAAGGGTTTAATAGTGACCATAAAGACACACAAATCTCACAAAAAGACACAAAAAGGACTGCGATATGATTAGAAATGACCAAAGAGAAACTAAGAATGACCACAAAGAGTAAGACATTCACAACAAAGACACTTAAATTGACCACAAATGATTACAAGATGGGGCAAAATAACTACATATAAAAAAATAATGAAGAAAGACCAGAACAAAAACATATTTTATGACGACCAGCAGACGCGTTTGGTCGGGCGATGTCGGGCTAGAACAGAGAGAAATCTTGCCTAATTCTTTTTAAGAAATGCCTCCTCTTTACAGCCATCGGCTCCACATGATTTAAACAGACCATCTGAAGTCTCTGGAAGTGTCCACAGAGCGAATACAACATGAGCAGATTCCTCTGAATCAGGGAGATGTCCAGTCGGGGGTTTCGACACATCATCTCCTCTTGATCTGCTCTCTTTCTGCGTTGGATTTATTTCGTGCTGAATCTGAATCTGTGTGTTTTCTTTCTCTTGGATTCTGCAGGATCTGAGCAACAAAGACATGAAGAGAGATCTGTACATCGTCTCTCAGGTCATCAGAACAGGTGGGACTTTGAGATAAAACACTATGGATGTCCGGATCGAGTGGACAAAACACTTAGACACCCATACCGTGTTTTACAATCCTCAATTAAAAGAGAAACTTTGAGAAGTTTAGGATTTTCAGTTTTTACTGAGTTGAATGCACAGGTCCTTTTTGAGTACTGCTCCCTGAGTAGGTACACACATAACAATCAACTAAACATGGTGTCACATTATATATCACCAGAGGAAGTAGTGGAGTACAAATCCATCATTTCCTGGTCTTCTCTAAAGAAGAGGGACCAATGAAAACGTTGTGATGTTTCAAAGCCCATACTTCTTTACCTTTACATGAGTAAAGAAGTTTAGTCAGTACTTCTACCAGAGTATTTTCAGACACGAGTATCTGTACTTCTACTTGAGTAAAGGATGTGTGTACTCTTCTCTCTGCAGGCCGCATGCTGCTGAACGACAGTAAAAAAGGTCCTCCTCACGTTCAATACCGCCGGCCGTACGGATGTGCCGTCCTCGCCATGAGCGACGTGCTGCAGACCATCTCTGAGCTGAAGGAGGAGAAGGACTTTGTGCTGAAGGTCTACACGTACGTACACAAAAAACACACACACACACACACACACACACACACACACACACACACACACACACACACACACACACACACACACACACACACACACACACACACACACACACTCACACACATTACATTACATGTCACTTGTTAGACGCTTTTATCCAAAGCGACTTCCATACTCAATACTGTGGACAATCCCCACAGGAGCAATTTGGGGTGAAGTGTTTTGCCCAGGGACACAACGACATGCTGACTGCAGTGGGGTTTGAACCGGTGCCCCCCTGATCCGAACACCAACGCACACATGCTAATGTTGGGCTATAAAGGAACTACAGCACGGTCACATGACTTCACCTCACCACCTCTAAGCTAAAGGTGGCTAATGTTGGGCTATAAAGGAACTACAGCACGGTCACATGACTTGATGTCACCACCGCTAAGCTAAAGGTGGCTAATGTTGGGCTATAAAGGAACTACAGCACGGTCACATGACTTGATGTCACCACCGCTAAGCTAAAGCTGGCTAATGTTGGGCGTGATGACGTTTAGTCGTCTCATTTAGACACTTGTTAGCAACCTCTACTTTTTAATTCACCTGCAGGGTATTTACTGATGTATTTTATGTCGTAAATGATGTTCTGTATTGTTTTATGTTGTTTTATGTTTCATGTGTAACATACTTGCTGCAGGTCTCCCAATGGGACCTACCTGGTTAAATAAAGGTTTGAAATGAAATGAAATGTAAAACAAAACCTTGAAATCTCTTCAGCTTGTTAACCACAGGACTCTGAAAGGGGAAACTGTAAGGAGTCAAAACACACAATATAATCTAATCATATATACTCTCTTTTCCTTATCTTCACAACCACTTCCTCTTGTGTCTCTCTATCGTCACTGCAACACTTCCTCTCATTATTAATATACTCCACTCACTGACATAAAAGAGAGCAGGGAGAGAAACAGAGAGGAGAAGCACACACACACACACATACGCACGCACGCACGCACGCGCGCGCGCGCACACACACACACACACACACACACACACACACACACACACACACACACACACACACACACACACACACACACACACACACACACACACACACACACACACACTGTGATGGCAGACTGGATATCCCTCTCAGCAGAAACGTCTGAAGACTAGCGTGTGTGTGTGTGTGTGTGTGTGCGTGTGCATGTGCGTGCGTGCGTGCGTGCGTGCGTGCGTGCGTACACGTGTGTATCCATGCATGTCTGTGTGTGTTTGAACACATTTGTTCCTGATTTGTTTTTTCCTCCTTCCTGCCAACCTAAAGTGACAAATCAGCGCCTCACAGTTCCACCGTACAAATATAAAGAAAAGAATCACTGCTATCGGCGACTTCCGCATTACAGAAGAGAGAAAAAGACGAAAGGACGGGGAAAGGGAGGGAGGGAAACACGAAGAAAGCTTTGTGCATTTCCTGTTACTCTCTGTTTCCTGTAAGGATGCATCAGCTGTGAGGAGGATGTGTTTTCATATATAGATAGACATTTTATTTATTGGGATAAACCCCTTGAGATGCACCATCTCGTTTTCAAGGGGGTCCCGAAAACGCACTGTCATCATGTGACAAACTCTATTATATTCATGTGATCTTGCAAAAATAGTAAACTCCAGATACATCTGAAGAAATGCAAATCATTATTTTGCATTGGGTTGTGTTCAACTTGGGTCAATAACACCATAGAGACCTAAGGGATGGGTGCATTATTGATTCTAGAAAATAGTGATTATTAAATATTTTATAATAAAAAAAAGAAAACAGATATTGTTGTACATTTGTTATATAGGTTTTAGTGCATGTAAATGGTCTGCAAAGGCTAAAATCCCAGTGTTCCCTCCAAAGGTAGTCTCTCCCCCCTCGCCTGAAACGCCTCCATTGGACTCCTTTGTTTACTTCCGGAACATAGTGACATCACTGTGTAACTTCCTTTTTGCTAGCGCTCCAATACATTGTACACCTTTTCTCTCTTGCCTTCATCTCCTAACCCTCTAAGCCCTCACCCTTATTCCACCTAGCTTAGCACTTTTCACTTCTGTTGTTATTTCTCTTCTCTACTTGCTTGTAACGCGCTTTGAGCTCCAAGCAAAGCGCCAAAGACAAGCAGACTTCAAGACAGTTTCTTCCCCTGAGCAATAATTGCACTAAACTCTAGCTTGCACTGACACAATATATATATATATATATATAACACATTCAAACATATTTATTTTTCGCTGTGAAGAGGAAACAGAGAGGAACAAGAAGAAGACAGAAGTTTAGAGTGAGACACATTTCCTCCTGGCTTTGATTTAAAGTGGACCTATCATGCTATATTATAATAATATAGTGTAGGACCATACCTATATGAGGCATATTTATCCTTTTTCTTTTTCAAAATACCAAACAGATCATGCATTTTAGCCATGCCTCATTTTGCTCAATTTGACAATTTCTAGCTCTGTTTATGCAAGGGCTGATTCAGTGAGAACAGCACCACCTACAGGCCTGGCATATGTACTACAGCGTCTCCAGCGCTTTCGAACGGCAATGGCCGTGGCTGTCTCCTCCTGATTGGTGGAGTTGGCCCAATAGCCGTAGCGCCACTGTCCTGACGTCAGGACAGTGTTCAAATCTGGATCAGTTTTTATCAGATCCGTTGCAGCCCCTTTTTTAGAGATTTGGGTATGGAGGAAAAGAGAGAGGGTTGTGTTTTCTGACACTTGGTGAGTTCCCTGGAACACCGGGGACACATATTCATGTATACAAGACGTACAAAAGTGCATTTTGCATGATAGGTCCCCTTTAAACCGATATATTCCTGCACTTTAACGTTATCTGCATTTTGAAGTATGAATGCTTGTTGTTTGTATGTTGCACGTCTCTTGTTTGTTTATTTTAATTTTTGATGGCACCTTGAAAAAAAAGGAGTAGCTCTACTCATCTCATTGTACCTGTATAATGACAATAAAAGATTCTATTCTATTCTATTCTATTCTATTCTATATAAACCACATGTATTATTATTATTATTATTATTATTGTACGTGAGGCTAAGGGAGTCACCTTGTGGATGATAACACGTGCTTTTTGTCTGTGTTTCTGCAGGTGTAACAATGAGAACGAATGGTACCAGATCCACGAGAACATCATCCGCAAGTCCAGCACCAAATACACCGCGCCCAGCACCAACTACGGTGAGTGTAGCAGCCAAAATGATATAGAAATACAACAGATAATCAACTTAAAATAACACTGCCGCTGAGGCACCAGTTAGCGAATCTTAGGCAGGGCATTTTATTCCATATAAATGAGGTTTGTTTCCCTTTTCTTCTTGTAACCCGTCTCATTATGTCCCCTCAGGTCTCATCATCTCCCTTCAGCTGCTGAGAGGAGACATGGATCAGCTCCGCAGAGAAAACCCTCTGATCTTCAGCCGAGGAGTCGCTATGACCCGGAAACTGGGCTTCCCCGACGTCATCATGCCAGGTGAGACAACCCGAATACATGCAAGAAAAAGGGGAGGAGCTTTGAGGCTGTACCCTCGTCTGTTTGCATCTTTTCCATCGATTTCTGTCATTAAACGACACAGGGCTGCACGTGGAAATGCAGAACAAAAACAGTTGTAGAAGAAGGGAATACTGTGGTGCATTTTAAAATGTGCTTCATTACACAAATGGAATTGAGGATTCAACCTAAATGCACATTGAGTCGTATAAAAAATATCTTTGCACTGACAGAACAAGACATTTAAAGACGTTAGTTTGGACATTTTCTACAAGAAAACCACACATTTAGACAATAATCATCAGAAAAATAAATAATGAAAAATACCATTTACCCTCAAGCTGCCCTTTATAACACCTACCATCTGCAGAACCGCTGTCACACCTCTCACACACATTAACAATGCATTTCACACACACACACACACACACACACACACACACACCACACACACACCACACACCACACACCACACACCACACACCACACACCACACACACACACACCTCGAGCAGTGATGGAGTGAGTATTTAACTCCTATCGTGATACATTAGGGGAGATGTCTCCTCTATAGGGGACGAGCAGAGATGATAAATGAATCCTCACACGTTAACACACCGGTCATCAGTCTGTGTGTGTGTGTGTGTGTGTGTGCGTGCGTGTGTGTGTGTGTGTGTGTGTGTGTGTGTGTGTGTGTGTGTGTGTGTGTGCGTGCGTGCGTGCGACAGCTTTAAAAGTGTGTGAGACATTGAGACACTTGTCTTTACATTTGCTTGTCTCTTTGTAGAACTTGTGTATCGTGGTTGAATTCTGTCTATTTTAGCTATGGTTATGTATTTTATTACTTTTCTTACACTTTTTGGTTGTTTTCTGTCCGTTTCTGACTTCCCAACATGTTAACAATACCTTTCGCAAAAGATTATTTGCCAAGTAGGCCCATTGAGTAATCTGTCCTTGATCCTCATCAATCTGGATCTGTGCATCTCAGGATTATATTTACATTTTAGCATCAACATCAGTCAGGTGAAACGTGGAACAATAAGTAAACTATAAGGTTTATTGTGTCCGTCTCGCTCTCAGGAGACATCCGGAACGACTGTACCTGACCCTGGAGCGAGGCGACTTCGAGAGAGGAGGGGAAGAGCGTTCAGAAAACATCGAAGTCACCGTCTACGTGTTGTACGCCGACGGAGAGATCCTCAAGGTAAAGAGGCAGAGCTGCTATAAAAACAACAACACAAACCTTCAATCTGCTTTCTGTCCCTCCTTTCTCTGCACTCTTTACACGTAATGGAAGATACCTTTAATGCGTATCACCTCGTGTGGGATAGCTGTATCTTTCATTTTCATTTCATTACTATAAGACGAATGCTTCCAAATTCATGACTGTGTCTTTAATTGCCATATTTGATGTCATAGAACAAAACATGAAAAACCCTTAAAATCGTATTTCAGTTATCAAACCAAAAACCATTTAATTAAAGCTCATTGACTTCCAGACGAGGGGACAGGAAGTGCTGAAATAATTTCCAGGTTTTATTCCCACTTCCTCCATCACTCTACGACCTCCCACTAAACGGTGCAAAGTGTTAAAGTCACTGACATACATGCATGGAAAAAGGATTTAAAGGCGGATTGATGGGTAGATCAGTTTCCATGTTGATGTGATGATCAAACCTCTGTAGTCTTATTTTGCCACTGATCTTTGTACTGTAAAAGCTTCCAAATTCTTGCTTTTTTACTACCAATATTGCCAGTATATTTCCATTAACGTGGTTATTTATTTAGCTTAGATCTTGTTGCAGTCATTTAACCAAAAATACATTAAAAAAACATTTAAATAAAGCCCATTCACTTCCAGACGAGAGAACAGGAAGTGCTTAAATTCTGACTCATTTCCACGTTTTACTCCCGCTTCCTGCACCACTCTACGACCTCCCACTAAACGGTGTTAAAGTCATAAACTAAAGTGTGGTTTACATGCATGCCATAAAGGTCTGGTCTCTGCCCCCCCCCCCCCTGCAGGAGTGCATCAGCCTGGGGTCCGGGGAGCCCCCCCTCCCAGAGCACCGCTCCTTCGTCCTCTATCACAACAACAGCCCTCGATGGAGCGAAGTCATCAAGCTGCCGATCCCCGTCGACCGCTTCAGAGGGTCGCACCTCCGCTTCGAGTTCAGACACTGCTCCAGTGAGTACACCTCAATATTTACTGTTTCAAATGTATTAAATATGAACATATATACAGTCAAGGTGCAGGTAAACACAGTTAGGGTGGAAGGGCCTTCTGTAAGTTATCCAATGACGTCCTTTTGTGTTTTTATTATTTAACTAATTCAATATGAATATATACAGTCAAGGTGCACGAAGCCGTCTGTTATCCAATCACATCATCATGTTTTCATTCCATGCTTTCTAATAGTTGTCACCTATGTGTAATGCAATGATTAGAAAAGTGAAGAAGAGTAACAGCAGGAAAGGGATCCATTCCTTTGATTGACGTCAGTTTTGAATAAATGGACCGTGTGCAAAGAGTCAAATTAAAGGGGACCTATCATGCAAAATGCACTTTTGTACGTCTTTTCTACATGAATATGTGTCCCCGGTGTTCCAGGGAACTCACCAAGTGTCAGAAAACACAACCCTCTCTATTTTCCTCCATACCCAAATCTCTAAAAAAGGGGCTGCAAACGGATCTGATAAAAAACTGATCCAGATTTGAACACTGTCCTGACGTCAGGACGGTGGCGCTACGGTTATTGGGCCAACTCCACCAATCAGGAGGAGACAGCCACGGCCATTGCCGGTTGAAAGCGCTGGAGACGCTGTAGTACATATGCCAGGCCTCTAGATGGTGCTGTTCTCACAGAATCAGCCCTTGCAAAAACAGGGCTAAAAAAGTGCAAATTGAGCGAAATGAGGCATGGCTAAAATGCATGATCTGTTTGGTATTTTGAAAAAAAAAAAGTATAAATATGCCTCATATAGGTATGGTCCTATACTATATTATTATAATATAGCATGGTAGGTCCACTTTAAATCAAAGCCAGGAGGAAATGTGTCTCACTCTAAACTTCTGTCTTCTTCTTGTTCCTCTCTGTTTCCTCTTCACAGCGAAAGACAAAGGGGAGAAGAAGCTGTTTGGTTTCTCCTTCACTCCTCTGATGAGAGAGGATGGAACCACGCTGTCAGACGAGAGCCACGAACTCTACGTCTACAAGGTCAGACTTCAGTCGGAGAACTCAACCTTTGTTTCCAAAACGTTTTTATTTCTGACTTTTTTCTCAAAATTCTGACTTTATTTTGAATACTAAGAAATCTGACTTTTTCACAAAATCAATTACATTCTGACTTATTCTAAACATCTCAGAATTATTATTTTTTTCTGAGATTTCTCAAAATTCAGACTTTTTTTTCCTCAAAATTCAGACTTTTTTTTCTCATTCTTAAACTGTTTATTTTTTTCTTGAAATGATTTGCAGCATTGTGACCTTTTCTCTTAAAATGCTGCATTTCCACTCAAAATTCTGACTTTCTTTCTGAAAATCTAAATTGTTTTACTTTTTCGGAAAATCCTGACTTTTTTTCTCAAAATTCTTACTTTATTTTGAAATTCTCACATGACTTTATTTTGAAAATTATGTTTGGAGAAATTCAAAAAATCTTAAACTGTTATTTTTTCTTAAAATCTCAGAATTCCGATTCTCAGCATTCTGACCTCTTCTCTTAATATGCTGCATTTTCACTCAAAAATTCAGATTTTTGAAATTGTTCTGAAAATCGCAATTATTTTACTTTTCTTTTTTACTTCTTCGGAAAATTCGAAAAAAAATTCAGAAAATCTGACATTTTTCCGAAATCTTGACATTTTTCAGAATTTCGAAAAATTCCGATATTCCGATTTTTTTCCGAAATTCTCAAAATTCTGACTTTATTTTGAAACTCTCAAAATCCTGTCTTGTCCCCAGTGTGATGAGAACACGCTCTTCAGTAACCACGCCCTGTACCTCGGGCTGCCCTGCTGCAAAGAGGACTTCAACAGCTGCTCCAGCCTGCCCTCCAGCCTGGTGTTCCAGCGCAGCGCCAAGGAGAACTTCTGGATCCAAACCCAGCTCTCCTCCACCAAACTCACTCAGAACGGTAACTTCTTCCTCAAAAATACAAAACACTATCAAGCCAAGGAGAACTTCTGGATCCAAACCCAGCTCTCCTCCACCAAACTCACACCTTTTAATTTTTTTTAGAAGTTTTTATTTATTCCACAAGTATATAACATACGTGGAGATGTACATCAAAGCCACACCCGCCTCAGTTTGCAGTCCACTCAAATCTACACGTTATTGCTCACATACATACATTACCCCTTTCCTTCTAAGTCTTTGTATCACATTTTGATTCAGTGTATTGATCATTTCTCTCTGGTTGCAGTGGATCTGCTGGCGCTGCTGAAGTGGAAAGCTCATCCGGACCGAGTGATGGACATCCTGGGCCGACTGCGGCACGTCAGCGGAGAGGAGATCGTCAAGGTGAGATCAGGAGATCCTAAATACTTTCACATGTTTTCTTCTTAAGTGTGTAACATGTCAAACTACAGGATTATCAGTCATACTTGAAAACAATGTTTGATGCTGCATTAACAACGGAATTAATAACTGTGTGTGTGTTTGTTTGTGTGTGGTGGTGTGTGTGTGTGTGTGTGTGGTGTTGTGTGTGTGTGTGTGTGTGTGTGTGTGTGTGTGTGTGTGGTGTGTGTGTGTGTGTGTGTGGGTGTGTGTGTGTGTGTTGTGTGTGTGTGTGTGTGTGTGTCAGTTTCTCCAAGATATTCTGGACACTTTATTCTCCATCCTGGACGACAACACGGACAAATACGGACCGCTGGTGTTCCAGTCACTGGTGAGTGTGTGTGTGTGTGTGTGTGTGTGTGTGTGTGTGTGTGTGTATGTTGTGTGTGTGAGTGTGTGTGTGTGTGTGTGTGTGTGTGTGTCACAGTTCTGTACTTTGTGAAACAACTACACATTCAAAAGCTCTGAAAGTCCAATAATGCAATAGGACTTCAGGCAGTATGCTGTTGTTTATCTGGGAAGCAAATTGCTTTTGGGAAGTCAGAGAGACATGGACAATGGATTACTCATAATCAGGATTAAGAAATCAGATTACAAAGAATAAAAATAAACAACTATAATCCAGGATTTCTTGAGTGCATTTTTGTAAATATCTTAAATAAATATTTTTAAATGATGAAAACAAGTTTTTCTAGTTACCTACAATGCAATTAACTCGTGAATTGCACTCTCTAAATGATGCAAAGTACTCACAGTAACCTGGATTGCATGCAAGTAGTTATATAAAGAATGCCATTTATTTGAGATGTTTGAACGAAAATGTATTTTTAAACATAAAGTGCAATTGATTTATGTTTATTTGAACCTCTCCAAAATAATGTCCATGTCTTTTGTCTTCAGTGGACTACTTTTCAAAGTATCTGGTTTCTGGCATTTCTTTTCTTGAAGCTTTTTTTTATTATTAAGAAAGTAGAGCATCACATCATGCTCTTTCTTGCATCTGCAGCAATGGCTGGAAGCATCCCTCTAAACAAACTGAACATATCAAGTTTAATTGATTCCTTGTTGCCTCTTTTATGAATGTAAACATATTTTAAAAAAGATGATAAAGTTACAAAGTCATTCAAATCAAGTATTTCTGTAAAGACTTAAAGGTGGGGTAGGTAAGTTTGAGAAACCGGCTCGAGATACACTTGTTGTTATATTCCATGGAATGCTCTTAACATCCCGATAGCAATGAATATCTGAAGTGCTTTGACAACAAATCCATTATAAAATATCATCTGTGGAAGCTGTAGTACTGTAAAAAGCACGACCAATCATCTGAGCCGGCCCGGCTAAAATAACTGGATGGCCTACCTGCCT